GGTCCTGCAGATTTGCTTTATTCAACATCAAGAAGATCAGGCCCTTTCTTTCGGAAAATGCTTCACAACTCCTTGTTCAAGCTCTTGTTCTGTCCAGGCTGGACTATTGCAATGCTCTCTTGGCAGGTCTTCCAGCCAGTTCTATCAAACCTTTACAATTAATCCAGAAAGTGGCAGCAAGATTAATCTTTAATGAGCCAAAAAGAATGCATGTCACACCTCTGTTTATCAATTTGCTCTGGCTACCAATAGCTGCTCGCATAAAATTCAAGGCATTAATGGTTGCCTACAAAACCACCACTGGCTCTGCACCCCTTTACCTAAATTCATTCACTTATGTGCCCTCTAGATCTAGATCTAGTTCTGCAAGTTTAAGAGCTTGCTCTATTCTTTTTCTATTCTATCGGTTTTCTTTATTATATACGTACATTTATTATATAATAAAAAAACCTTGCTATGTGTACTACGTTAAGTTAACTGAGACTTGTTGTAGCACTTGCATATCATTGCTCTTTTGTTGATTTTGATTGCTTCTATTGTCCTCATTTGTAAGTTGTAAGCTTCTGCTAAATAACTAAATGTAATGTAGATGACAATGTAATCTTTACATCTTTCCCTTTTGAACAAAACAAGTGCTTGAAAATTATAGATTCATTATTACTCTTATTGAAAAACAAAATAACAATAAAACAGTACAATGACAAACTCACTTATATAAACACTTATATAAAAATAACTTTTATTAACAAAATTACGATGGGTTATGTACAGAGTTATGTACATAACATGTAGAAAAAATATATTGTGGCCATGAATTAAGAATTTGTTCCTGCGACTTAATTTGTTCCCTTATTTCATTAAATTGTGGTCATGTTGTACTAATTCATTCCATCATTTCTGTTTAATTAAAATTAGGAAACAAAACGTGGCCATGATTTAATTAAATAAAAGGGCACAAAAGAAACATTTCTTTTTTTGCCGCAAATATATATATTTTTTTCTCCGCAAGTCATGTGAGGGGCACAGTATATACCTGTGTTGTAACACAAATAAATGAAAGATCTTTGGATTTCCCCCTTACTTTAAAACAAATGCTTAATTTCTTGTTCATTATTACTTTTAATGAAAAGCACAACAATAGAACAAAGACAAACTCACTTGTATTAAACATAGAAATATTGCTAAATAGGCGCTATCACTGATTACTGCGGCAAGCCTATTAATATATCTATATATTTATAAACAATTTTATTCATAAAAGAGTGTTATTATTGACGGAGCTATGCTATAAAAACTAGAATGTGTAAAACAAATTCTGATAATGTCTTGTGCATTTAAAAGTCAAAACAGACACAAACCTGACATGGTAGTCTGTTGCTGGTCTTAAGTCTTGTAAGGTTGCACTTAGTTCCACACCACTGACACAAGCAGAAGACACAAGTAAGAAAATATTAATAATATTTTTGAAGAATGTAAACAATTAAAACAACTCTTCAGGATTCATCTATCGTTGTGATCTTAAAAGAGCTGCATATGTCAGGTGAACTTCTGTTGACCTTTAGCTATCACTGATTTCAGAAAACCCACAGCAAACCACAAAAAACAACAGCGAGTTCCTCAACTGCACCCACACCTCCTCCGCAGCGGGACACGGAGCGTGATCTCACCTGTAGGCGCTCTTGTACTTCCCATCCTTGCCACTGTACGAGACGGAGACCTCATACGTGAAGCTGGGCTCCGCAGGGCCTTCTTCTCCCTCTTTGGGCTCATCGTCACCTTCGGTCCTTGATGGGGCCACCCAACTCAAACTGGCCCCTTTGGCCTGGATGTCTGTCACCTGATGATGCAAGATGATACAATAGTTTTTACATGCAGCACTACATTTAATGCAAACCTTTCAGTTGGGGGGGGGATATTATACTGAGCTAGTTTCAAATTTAACTTCTTACTGGATCCAAAGTTGTCACACAGATTTTAAATGATCAGTTGATTAAAAAAAAAACCACTCTCACAACTGGTTAAATAAATTTACACAAGTTTAGGGGGTGCACCGATACTAGAATTCCTGCCGATACGATTTGTATTATTTCATATAGAACTCAATAACATTATTTGGATTTGAGGTTACATTTAAATTTGGACATTTCCAGTGTTTTAAAGATTACATTTTCTATTGCGAGTTAAAACAAAGTGAATCTAAATGTAAAAACAGAGGAAATTAGTATGTACTATTAACTGTCCAAATTCAGCTGATAGAAGTCCGACATTGACCCATAAGATAAATTGTTTGAAAATCTCTAATATCATCCAAAAATCAATATAGCACCATTTATTGTGCATCACTAAGCATGGCCTGAATCCTATTTTAGGCAAATTTGTATACGCCAATGCCCGGATTCTGAAAAGCGACAGATTTACATTTTTAACGCAAAGGAAACATCGGTAGAATTCTCTACATTTGTTTCTGCAAACTTGCATAGACTGGGTTTCTGGCTGAAGTCTTTGTAATTATGCAAAACTAACTTTTGTTCAATTTGATTTGTAGCGCGAATAATTTATGAATACCTTATGGACTTCAGATTTAAAAAAAAATAAAAAATAAAAAGTTCAACAATATTCAAAAAAGATGGAATATCTCTTTTTCCACATTTATCAAATTTTGTTCACCAGATGAGTCTCATAATCTTCGGACCAACTGTCATCAAAGTTATTGGCTGGATTTTTGCCTTACATCACCATTACACTTAAAGGGGTCATATGATGCTTTTTTAAAGATCATTATTTTGTGTATTTGGTGTAACAGAATATGTTGACATGCTTTAATGTTCAAAAAACACATTATTTTTCAAATACTGTACATTATTGTAGGTCCTCTATGCCCCGCCTCTCTCAAACGCTTCGTTTTCTACAAAGCCCCCTCCTTTTGAGACTTTAGTCTTTGCAACTTCAGGGATCTTATCTATGCACAATCAGCTTGTAACACTCCAAAGAGAAAGGAAAACTTGAAATCGCATCATATGACCCCTTTAAACTAATTCAGCAGAGCTGAATAAAAGATGGAAGTCAGGATCCATTTTGGCAAATTAAAGAAAATATCGGTAGCATTCCCTGCAACTGTGTCTGCAAACTTGCATAGATTGGCTTTCTGGTCTCGTCTTGTAAATATAGCAATAAGGAAGAGCAAAACAACAATTATTTTCTTAATTGACTTGTCAATGGATTGTCTGTGCAATTAGTCTATCTCAAAGATGACATTTATAATGCCTGATTTTAGGTCATGTCCTCAGACAGACCGATGAGAATCTGTGTTTGTAAATTGAGTGAATGTGACGCACAAGGACAGCCAAGGGACTGTATATGCAGATGAAAAGGAAACGTTTTAAATGAGTGAAAACTGATGTAACGATGCATGATTGATTCAAACTCAATTTGTCTGATTCAGTGAAATCCATCATTACTTTCAGAGGTTAATTGTTCCCAGGGGCTAATTGGCTATATATTTAGATACAAGCACATGTTTGTGGGAAATACAAATGTCTGCTTGTTTTGCCTGGAAAGAGTCACTTTAGTTTATTTTAATCACATGCGGCACTTCCCCTCCGGAACAAAAGAGAACTCCTGTTATGCAAGAAGGAATATTTTTAGCTTTATTCCAGTTGAGAAACAAGTGTCTCCTTTAGTTATGGATGCATGACTATGTACCTTTCGGGTTTTCAGAATAGCGCAGATTACTAGGCCAAAACGGACTTAAAAAGAACCTATACACATGTGCCCCATAGGGCATGATTCTCTCCCTCTAAACTTTTCACAACAACTTTTCTCACTGCATGAGTTGTGGAAATAATCTTTCAGTTACTGATGCAAGTGAACTACATAAATCTGACCAATAAATTTGATTTATCATTCCGAGCAGGCAAAATAGTAGGTAATGTTTTATGAGCTGCAAGGTCAGCATACTTTGCGAAAATTAACATGAAATGCATTTGCTTAATACTTACATCATAAATTCAGGAAAAAATGGTCATTATGCAAAACTAACTCTTGTAGAACTTTTAAATTGATTTGTGGTGGCCTTAATTTATTAATTCTTTACAGAGTTACTCTTTTTCCACTTTTTCGCCAACTCATTTTATTCCATTTCACCAAATTTGTCTTACACTCTTCAGACTAAGCCTCACTAAAGTTATTGGCTAGATATTTGGTTTTTGCCATTGTTTCTCCCAAAAGATGTCAACAGAGTTGAATAAAAGATGGAAGTCTTAACAAAACTTTAAGACATTAATTTGACAATTTCAGTCAAAAAAACTTTTTCCGTTTTTTTTATTTAAATAATAATAATAATTAAAAAAAACTATCTGGCTACTAAAACAAATTACAAAATATATATTTCAGAGCCCCCACACATCTCCACAATTAAAAAAAAAACCCTAAATCTATCAGACGTTTCAACATTTTCCCCTTCAATAAATAAAAAAATATATAAATAAATAAATTCATTAATTAATGTATTTATCTTTTTTCTTATTTTAAAAAAAAGAGATTTTTTTGGGACACGACCTTACATTTTTTAAGGTGAAATAAAATGAAACAATGAATTAAAATGAATCTCTTTTCTATATTCTTGCATGCCAATGGTGTTAAAGAGCTTGCTTACTGTACTGTATTTTGTGAAAATTATTTTGAACAGCATGCTTAACTGGCCTATTTAAAATTTATTTGTAGTGCCCCTATAATTTATTCATATCTCATGGACCACTAAAATAAAAAAATTAAAAAATTGCATCATGTTCAAAAAAGGTTTGAATGTCTAATGAAAAAGGATCAGTAATAATTATTACAGTGAAATGGACAGGGCTGTTTCGCCAAAGCTGAAGTCACTGTTTCATGAAAACACCAATAAACCAGATCCCAGCACACCAGACAAGACAGCCATTTAGCTTCCTCTATGAATCAAATCAAATACAGCATTAATGACCCATTACTGTCTTCTTGTGGGGACTGTAATCATGCATGGATGTAGAGTTTTTGAGACCGTGGAAATGACTGTCATTAAGAAAACTGTTGACGCAGCAAGCAGCCATACAGTTCTTCAGAAGGTGGTTTCTCAGTGAGAGGAGTGTCAAATGTAGCATAAAGGCCTTTCAAATAGCCCACTAAGAAGAACAGTACGCCATATCAGTACCATTATGCCAATGATAGACTAATGTATTGACCAGGCAGGCTGATTAATAGACTGATATTTGGTCAGTGTGAGATTGTCCACCCTTTTAAAATGTCAAGCCTCGTCAGTGGATCCATTTTCAAACATTTTGGGGGAATGATTTTGAATAAATAGTGTAAAATAAGTGTTCCCAATAAATACAAAATGTTATTTTGCTTTTCCACCACAAAGTTTGCAAGTCAAGCAATTAGCCATTACCCATTTCGAAATGATTTCAAGCCATGGTTAGACTATAAGCAAGCAGAAAAATTTATTTAAACTTCATCAGGCTTGAAAGGTAACATGTGGTCTGCTTCATCTCTGGATAAATCTGTCAATCTTCTGTGGTTCGCCTGCTCATCAATGCTTTTTCTGAACATTTTCTGAAGTTGGTTTATGTTGCAGTCAGCTGAACATTCACTGAATCGATAATACTTTTCTTTAGTGTAGGAATAATGCTACTACGGCACAGATTACTAAATTCCTAAAATGGCTGTTCCTAATATTTAACTCAGTAAGGATGCTTTTATTTAATAAAAAATAAAAACAGTAATATTGTGAAATATTATTGAAATGTGTTCATTTAAAATGATGTCTCCTGTTTTAATATTTAGAATAAACTGTAGAGTACACAGTAAAAGACTGTAAAAATGCTACAGTAAAAACCTGTTAATTGGTTAACAGTAAGTTTCCATACTATATACGGTAAATAAATGTAATTACATTTAATGTGATTTTACAGTAAAATACTGTTTTTGGAAGTGAAAAATAAAAAGTCGTATAATTTACAGTGAAAAACCGTAAATTGACACTCCCAGAATTC